GCCCTCCTAAAACGCCTCGTTTAAACTCGCCCCCACGTCTGCGTCACTGTGTGGGAAGATTTGCATAACGCCGCCCAAATGTTCACGCCAAGAACGAAGGCGTAACTTTATTGTTGCTGCCGCCGCCATGTTGTGAAGACGCTGTGTGTTTCGTTGCGAAAGCAAAAATACTTTGTTTGGTCTTCCAAAAGAGGACACGACTAGAAATCAGTGGTTAAGTTGTATTTACAACACTGTTCCAGAACAGTTCAACCCAAATATTCAGATGTGTGCAGTGCATTTTATGGAGGACTGTTTCCTGATCCTGTAAGTACGTTTTCATATTTAAAGAATTTGCCACTGATGATTCAAACACGAGTTTTGAGCAGTGTAGAGTAGCGCTTGTTGTTTGTCCTTCCTCAGATCACAAATGCAGACATCATGTTTATGCAGCGCGCTATGCAACGCAACGCCTAAAAAGACAGTATAAGTCATTATAATCCGTAATATTGCAAATTTGCAATAAAATTACAAACAATAATGTACAGTATGTGGAAAATAAACCGCATAACCGCATAAACACATTTCATTAAACCAAATACACAAAATAATGTTCTTTTTTAGCAACATCATATGACCCCTTTAAACATTTTTTTATCCTACACTGTAGAGTCATTGAGTGACAGAGTTGTTGTCCCCCTGTTGTGGATCATTTAGGTAGTGTCACGTAGTGTGAAAACCACAACGACTTTGGGACGGGACAGGAAAAAATGTCAGCGGGAGTGGGCGGGACCGGGAATCGTAATAACACTATGATACCCATTGATATGCAGGCTAACGCAGTTATTAATGCAGTCTAATGCTGCGGTTATTAGAGAGAGAGAGAGATTAAGTGCGTGTGAATAATACCTGCGTCTATGCGTCTCTCAGCAGCGTTCAGCAGCAGCGTCTCTAATATGATGATTTGCTGCTGAAGAAACATTTCTAATTATCAATTGAAAACAGTGACACTTTTTTTCAGAATAGCAATTTCAAGAGAACATCATTTATTTGAAATAAAAATCTTTTGCAACATTTTATATGTCTTTACTGTAGCCTTTGGTCAATTTAATGTTTCCTTGTTGAAGAAAAGTTGTTGAAAAAAATTCTTACTGACACCAGCCTATTTTTGAATAGTAGTGAATGCAAAAATAATCTCTTCAAAGTTCTAGTGAGTGTATACTTTCACTTTACATGTTGATTACATTTACAATCATTTAAGTTCACTGTACCAGCCAAACAAACCCACTATCACTGCAAGATCATGAGAGCCCCGACATTTGATCGCAAACAGCACATTTATCGCGTAAGTGAGTCTATGAATTCACACCACATAACAATCTGTCAGTCATGATAATATTCGACTTATTTTCATTATGTCCAGATTGAGCCGGTGATCACAAACCTTGACCTCGTGCATCATCTGCTGCTGTACCGCTGCCCTCTGACTGTGACGGAGCCGTTTGAGGCGGAGTGTTATACTGGGGTGGATGGAGAGTGTATGGAGACCGTGGCTGTGTGGGGAGGTGGGGGAGGGGTTAGTATCTCCTGTGCCTGGGGTTTAAAGCATTTTCATGTGAGAAACAACCAAATTTAAGCCATTAATTACTTCAAGAAATGTTTAACCATATCGTTAAAATCAAGAATCGGATCAGTTTGATTCTTAAGTGAATCATTCAGAGACGTTTTCTAAACTGATTCACTGAAAAGATCATCCTCGAGGATAATTCATTTTCAGCAATGATACTTTATTAGGCCTATTGAAATTGTAAAAAAAAAAAAAATTGCCTATTTATATGTACAACTTTCTTAATGAAGTAAAATTACTGATTAGCTTTTCAATTAAATTACATTTTTCAAGGCTTTTGAATTCCCTGAAGTGGCAGGACTTCCAATTGGAGGAACAGCTAATTTTATATGTTTTTGATATTTTGTTCTGTGTTCTTTATTCTGATTCATATATTTGACCCTGGACCACAAAACCAGTCGCTGGGGTATATTTGTAGCAATAGCCAAAAATGCATTGTATGGGTCAAAATTATAGATTTTTCTTTTATGCCAAAAATCATTAGGATATTAAGTAAAGATCATGTTCCATTTCGAAAAATTGACTTATAATTGGGTTGCATTGTAAGATCATTTAGAAGTTGATATTTTATTTCAATCTGTGAAGGTGCTTCAAGCTATTTTGTAATATACTAGACATTAAAATTATTATCCGGATACTGCATGAAATACTGTAAAGCATCCTTGATGAGTGTGTGTGTTCTGGCCTTTTTAACCAGTAATTTCCAGTTAGTTACCTGTTATGTGTAAACAAATGATGTAGAACATATCACACAAGCATATGTTGGTATGAGTAAAAATATACACAATTTATCATTAATGTTGTTCAGGACCGTCATGCTGTGGGGAAATTCAATGCCTGTGGTTGACCAGCAACAGAACTACAAACTCCTGTCTCTGAACGAGTCTGATGGGAAAACAGTCATGAAGTTTCAGAGATCCATCGAGGCTTGTGATGAAAATGACTTGCCCATCACTGTGAGTCCTAGAACAACATTCCCACACTACCGTTAAAAAGTTTGGGGTAAAAGATATTTTTTCAAAGACCCCATTAACAAAACATTGTGAGGATTGGAGAACGGTTAGGATTAGAGACTTTAACAATACTATCAACCTACAATTTACCATTTTTATAGAGAGATAAGATTAAGGTTTGGGTTGTTGAACAAATATGTTATTCCATGACCCACAACAAATAATGTAGTAACACTTCCTACTTGACACCTACAGTGAACAGGTTGAATAAATGTACCGTGTGTTCCTGGAACTGGTCTAAAGATAAACAGAACACCTGCTTACTGAATTTGATATCCAGTTTTCCGCAGAATTACACCCAAGGAATGTGTGCAATCTAGAAATTGTGATGCAGCTACAAAGAAAAGTAGTTCCAACACCATCAGTTTCACTCTCCCCTTTTATTGTGTTGCACTTAGTAGTTTGAGCCAGAAAACAATGTTGAGAAGAGGAACTATGGCATTGATAAAACCCAGCAATGTGAGGGGTTCTCTTTCAGGTAGCTTTTACTCTCATACTGGGAATCCACACAATGTTAGACACACTGGGACCAGGAAGTCTGTACTGACCTCAATTGTACTTGAAACCCCTTAAACAGATGGAATGGACTCAGAAACCCTGAAAGTCTAGATCAGAACTAATAGCTAAAGAGTTTCTCATTTTTCGGTTCAGATTTTCCTGCTGGTATCTGCAGATCAGGTGTTTTTGAATGCCTATAAATGATTGGCTTTTGTTTTATTGCATGATCAGAATCTCCCCATGAAGCTGATCTATGCGTATGGACAGACTGATGACATCACGTACCACAGTACAAGAAGAGGCAGGAAGGAGTTGAACCTGTTGAAGTACATGCCTCGGGTCAACCCTCCAAACAGCAAGTATTTCGACATGACTATGGTCAATGTAAGAAGGATTTTTATT